CATGCATCCCGATGTATAGCAGCAATGTCCACAATAGCCAAACTATGGAAAGAGCCAAGATGTTCATCAACAGATGAATGGATAAAGAAGATGTGGTACATACGCACGCACACACACACACACACACACACACTCACACTGGACTATTAAGCAGCCATCAAAAACCTGAAATCTTGACATTTGCAATGACGTGGATGGAACTAGAGGGTATTATGCTAAGTGAAGTGAGTCAATCAGAGAAAGACAAGTATCATATGATCTCACTGATATGAGGAATTTGAGAAACAAGACAGAGGATCATAGGGGAAGGGAGGAAAAATGAAACAAGATAAAACCAGAGAGGGAGACAAACCGTAAGAGACTCTTAATCTCAGGAAACAAACTGAGGGATGCTGGAGTGGTGGGGGGTGGGAGGGATGGGGAGGCTGGGTGATGGACACTGGGGAGGGTATGTGCTATGGTGTGCACTGTGAATTGTGTAAGACTGATGAATCACAGACCTGTACCTCTGAAACAAATAATACATTACATGTTAAAAAAGAAGAAGAAGAAGATAGTAGGAAGGGAAAAATGAAGGGGGGGAATCAGAAGGGGAGACGAACCATGAGAGACTATGAACTCTGAGAAACAAACTGAGGGTTTTAGAGGAGAGGGGAGTGGGGGGATGGGTTAGCCTGGTGATGGGTATTAAGGAGGGCACGTATTGCATGGAGCACTATACGCAAACAATGAATCATGGAACACCACATCAAAAACCAATGATGTACTGTATGGTGACTAACATAACATAATAAAATAAAATTTAAAAAAAAAGAAAAAAGAAAAGGGATTTTAACAAATCCTTTTGATTTGATTATTATGGAACCATTAATTTTTCTTTTGCTGTTTCAGTTCTACTTCCCTTTCTAGACTTATGAAAGCAGACTACGAGGACACACTCTCTGACTTGTCTGATGATTTGCATTTCTACCTCTGCACAATGAACAATGTTGAAGGTCTTCTAGCCCTTTCCTATGAGAGAGTAATAGCTAATAATTGGGAGCTTTTAGGTTTATAAATAAAGTATTTTATAACATTCCCTGTGACTTTTCAATGTTAAATATTGAGAATTATGTAATGTTTTGAATATTCTGCTCAAATTTTCATATTTTTTATTTTGGGTTCTGATTGTGGTAGAGAGTTTAATGTTATTACTGAGTTCTGTTCCATATTAACATATCTAGGTTGTATCAGTCCGAATAAGTGATACATAAAAAAATATGCTGGATGGCAGACAATTCCAAATTGCAGTGGCTTAATACAACAAAATTTTATTTCCTCCTATTGAGTATGCATATGCAAAAAGATGAATATAGACCCATACCTCATAGTGTACACAAAAATTAACTCAAATGAATCATAAACTATGTAAGAGCTAACTTATAAAACTTCTAGAAAAGACATAATAGAAAATGTTTATGATCTTGGGTCAGGTGAAGAGTTCTAAGATATAACATCTAAAGCATATGGCTTTTAAAAAACGATAAATTGGATTTAATCAAAATTTAAAAAAAATTTTTTTGAGCTTCAAAAGATACCACCATTAAGAAAATGAAAAGACAAATCGTAGAGTGGGAGCAAATATTTGCAAATCATGTATCTGGTAAAGGACTTGTACCCAGGAAATGTAAAGACCTTACAACTTGATAATAAGAAGACAAACAGTCCAGTTAAAAAATGGGTAAAAGATTTGAATGTATGCTTTACCAAAGATATAAGAATGGCTAGCTAATCAGTACATGAAAAGATGCTCAACATCGTTAGCCATTAGGGAAATAAAAATTTCACAAACAAAAATTTCATTTTTCACAATGAAAAACCACTTCACTCCCACTGGAGACAATTGTTCTTTGATTTTTTGTATAGATAGAAACATAACCAAAAAACAAGATGACATTCATTCAGCATTTAGGGAGTAAAGAAGGGAGGGAGAGAGAGAGACAGAGAGACAGAGAGAAGGGGGACTCTGAGTTCTGTTAGTAAACGATGACAGAGTCTGTAAGAAATCTCCTCAGAGGTAGGATAAATCATACATTTGACTGGGGAATGGTTTTCCTAGGTTGAAGATAGTATAGTTAGGTCATGGCAAAAAGTTAAATAACTTAACCTTCAATTTATTTTTATTTTTTTTTAAAGATTTTATTTATTTATTTGACAGAGACAGAGATAGCGAGAGCAGGAACACAAGCAGCGGGAGGGGGAGAGGGAGAAGCAGGCCTCCCCCCGAGGAGGGAGCCCGATGTGGGACTCCATCCCAGGACCCTGGGATCATGACCTGAGCCGAAGGCAGACGCTTAACGACTGAGCCACTCCGGCGCCCTTAACCTTCAATTTAAATAAGACAGACTATATCAAGTATTGATGAGGATGTGGAGAAGTTGAAATCCTCATGCATTGCTTACATGTTATCTTAAAAAGTTAAACATAAATGTATCATACAACACAGCAATTCCACTCCTAGGAGTCTATCCAAGAAAAATAAAAACAAGTATCTACACAAAGACTTGTACACAAATTTTCACAGCAGCATTACTCAGCCAAAAATTGGAAATAATTCAAATGTGCATCAACTGGTGAGAGGATAAAGCAAAATATAGTACATTCATACAATGGAACACTATTCAGCAATACAAAGGAAAGAACTACAGACATGTGGTACAACATGGATGGGCCTCAAAAACGTTGTGATGAGTGAAACAAGCCAGATCAAAAGACTATATATTATAGGAATCCATTTATATAAAATGACTAGAAAAGACAAATCTACAGAGACAGATAACATTGCCTGGGGTTGGGAATGGGAACAGTGATTGATTACAAATGGGCAAAATGAATATTTTTGGGGTGGTAGAAATGTTTTAAAATTAGATTGTGATGGTTGCACAACTCTAGTTTCGGCTTATTGTAGTCATTTAGGGACCCGAAGTGATAGATGTTCTATTTTAACACATGATTCCATCATCACCACAACAGGGGGGAAGGGAATGTGCCTCTGCCTCTTAAAGCTTGTCCTGGGAAATGATACACATCACTCTCCTCCCATTTTATTGGTAAAAGTAAGATACATGGCCATGCCTAACTTCAAGGAAGCAAGAAGTGCAATTTTACTGTGTCTGGAAGAGAGGAGAACCAGAACAATCCTAACAACTATGATATAAATAAATAACAACAGTAAATTTGACATTTATTTCTTTTTAAAGTCCTAATCCAAGATTTCTGGGGAAGATGGCAGAAGAGGATCCTAGGCTCACCTCGTCCCACAGATACACCTAGATAATACCCACATCTACATAAAGTCCTACTCTATTGCATGTTGCTTAGTTAACTGAAATTTCTAAGCCCCCAGTTATGGGTGTTCTTTATATTTTACTGTGACTCCGTCAGTGCCTATGATACCCTGAGCACCTGGTTTCCTTAAATTAAATTGATGCACTTTTGCATCTGTGTGTTTAAAAAGAAAAACGACAAGCTTTTTTTTTAATAGGCATCCTTGCTTCTGTAATGTATAGGGATTAGAATACTTTCATGTGGCTAAAGAGGACAAAAGTTAGACCAGTAAATGGGAATCATAAGAAGGCAGATTGTACATTTATAGATGGAAGAATTTTCTAATTACTAGCATTTATGAAATTGAAATGACTGTCTCTGAGTTTTGAACTACTGAAGATGTTGAAGTTGTGGCTTGATCACCCCTTGAGAGAAACACTGAGAACTTAAACCAAATGTTCTCCAGAACTTATGTTCTATGATTAGGCTTTGCTGCACAGCAAATATAACTGTTTGTGTAATATCTTTATCCATTTTTGGACCGTATCTACTTTTTTTAAGTCAAAAGTCAATCAAAAGTATTAAGGGCATGGAAGAGGAATTTATGAGAAACTACTTTATAATAGAATTCAGAGAAAGTGGAACTTGCAAGGTAGCAGATAGAGAACATAGTAAGACAGAATTAAATTCGATTAGAATTATTAGGAGAAGCAAAGGAGTGGAAGAGTATGACTAAATTATTTAAAATATTGAAAGGTGTGGATAGAATGAATATTTATTGGCCAAATTCTGAGATTATGGGCTGGGGAAATCCCTTTTGAAATATGAACAAAGTGAGTTTAGGCCCAAGACGTACTTTTTCAGAGAGAAAAAAACATGTATTAATTTATCCTTGTATTAATTATCTCTGTTATGTGATGAGACAAAACCATAAAATAATTTAAAAAATATTTTGACAAAGTTATAAACAAAGGTACCCCAGGTGGCTATAAGAGGAGTTGGGTTGTATCTAAGCATGAGTCAGAGACAAGCATGCACTTCCAGTTTGTCACTTGGACTTCCGGTCTGCAGCAGTATATTGGCAGGCTAAGGGTCTGCCCTAATATGAAAAAAGTTCTGTATTCCTAAAATAAATCACCTTGCACGGGGTTATTCTCAGATTTCACTACAATTAGGAATGACTGCAAAGCGGATACACAGAAAAACCTTTCACTGTCAAGGAATAAAATGTCCGAAAATCTTCTATGCAAGGAGCTCCTGATAAGGAATTTGGGACTGGATAATAATCGCAGAGCAAAATTTAATTCTGACATCCAGGGTCTCCTCGCTGAAGGAAATTCGAACAGCAGGCCTCAAGGTGAAGATAGAAGAAACGTGCTTTATCTAAGGTAATGAAAGTCAATCAGCAAGACAAGATGTAGAGAGCACTGCCGCATTTTTCCGGAAAAAAAAAAAGCATAGCGCAGACTGGACACGACGCCGTCCTTTATAAGAGAAACAGCACTAACACCTCCGTCGGCCAGGAGAGCAGCGATCACTATTGTGTTAGCGCCGGCGGCGGAAGGACTTGGCCCCACCGCTACGTTAAAGAGTCCTTCTTTGTTCAGCTTCGGCCAGAGACGCAGAGCGCGGTGTTCTTCCGCGCTCGCTGCACAGTCCCCGCCCCCTCGCAGCTCTGGAGAGCTGCCATTCGGCACCGGAGTCGCTCCGCGCTCCCAGAATGCACCGGCAGTCCGCGGGAAACCAAAATGGCGAAGGGCTGTAGCGAAGTGGGCTGTGTTTGAGGCCGGTGTAAGAAGGCTCACTCTACTCTCAACCCTCATCCCCAGGACCTCGGTTTGTGCGTGTGCGTGTTCGGGGTGCCCGGTGGGGCGGGTGCCCAGTAGTGCTTGGACTCGCAGAGGAAGCGCCCAAGGGGACGTGATTGGTTGTTTTTTCCTGTATGAAGCGGTTGGCACCACTGAAGTGACCGAATGAGGTGAGAGACCTTGGCCTGGGAACCAGGCTTTTCCGGAGGAGGTGGGGGCGGGGGGAGAAAGAAGAATGGAAGCAAGTATAAAAGGGAAAGATGGAGGATCGAAGTGGGGGTGGGATCTCCAGTGTGTGTATGTGGGTCCCTTGCATGTATGTATATGTTGAAAAGAATGGATAGAATGGAGTAGTCATTTAGGTTTTGGAGAAAATAGGGAGCGAGCAAGGCATTGGGGAAGTCGGTTGGAGGACCAAGATGAAACGTTGAGACGGGGAAGCTGTGTTTGGAGGGGCAGGAAGGAACCTGGGGGCGGGAGACGGTTGGAGGGGCAGGATGAACCTGGTGATGAGGGGGTGGGGAACCGAGGGGAGGAGCCGTTAGGAAATGCGGACTGAGGGAGACGTGGGGAGCTGAGTGAAGGGGCTGCCTGGGACCTTAGGGGGCGCAAAGGGAAGTAGCAGCTTGGAACCAGAGGGTGGTGGAATTGTATGGAATTGGAGTAAGGGGCTAGAGTAGAAGGGCAGGATGGAGTACGTGGAAAAGGGAAACACTAAGTGGAGCCTGGAAGCAAACCCTGAAAGCTTTAAAGGGGAGAAGGGAGGGAAAGTGAGATGGCAGAGAGACACCTTATATTTGGAGCGCACAATGAAATCTAACTCATCCCTCCTCGGATGTAGATATGTATTATTCATTTTTACAACTGAGGTAATTACGGTTCAAGGGATTTTAACTGATTTGCCAAGATTTCTTAACATATTTTGGTAGTGCCAGAACTCTTAACTCTGAGTGTGTGTTTTACAATCTGGTGTCTTTGGTTGCTAGAATTTTTCTTTGGAAGCAACTAGAGGGAACAGATGGATTTATCGGGGTGATTTGACGAACAGAGAGGGTTCGTGAACAATGGAAAAAGGGATATGGAATGTTATTCTATTCTTTAAAACATTTAACTTTGTTAATGTTAATTAACATTAATTATTTATTAATGTTAATTAATGTTAAATGTTAAAAGTTAGAACCGTTTACAAATAAAAATATGCAGACCTAGGCAGGCCTGTGTATAACGTCAGAAAGCACCATGTGAGGTCAGTACAGAACTAGAAATATGTAAATAGTGCCCGATTTAATTTGACTCCAGATGCTCCGGTAGTAGTAACTTTCTCCTTCAACATCGATTCCATGTGACTCTTCTGTATACGTTGCCTGCACGCTGGCTTCAATTTCCATGTTTTCATTTTTTCTTGAGAATTCCTTTTTTGTTTTGTTTTGGGCAGTAGATTGCAAAGACTGAATCTGAAAGTATTTTATGAGGGTAAAGTAAAATGTACTTATATTCTTAAGTGACTTTTCAAAGGTTTGAAAATGCTTTACATGGAGCCATTTTGACTAACAGCTTTAGGTGTCCAGTAGTTTTGGCAAGGAAAGATTTTAAATTTCTTTAACATAGAGCATTCCATTCTTGATATTTAGAATGTTATTCACACTCCAACCATTTGCAGTGATAGCTTGAGAGGGAATACAAGGTGAAATTCTATTTTTGTTTTTTTAGGTTCCTAAATATAAAAATATATTCGAATTCACATTTTGTTTGCTCACCTTCAGTTTTTTTTTAAGTGCTAAAAATATTCTAAAATATTTGAATTAAGAGTGCACCTGTTTCCTGATGCTGCATATTCGTGTTAATGGCATTAACGGAAATCTATACCTAATCAGGATGAAATGCACACACAATTTTAGAACTAGAAGTATAGAAATCATCTGGTTAAACTTTTTTTCTAGATGAAACAAAATATATTTAATGATCTTTTTAATTATGCTGGTTGCCTCAAAGCTCAGTTTGGAAAGGGATTTTATTCTGTGTATTTTGCTATGGGTCATAAATTCTTTGATGTCATTGATTTATAAATATACCTTTCATTAGATCCTTGACAAAGGGTAATTTGCTTTATTCTTATTTCAGCATAATCTTTATATCTGACTTTAGGAAACTGGTGATAGAGTAATAATCTATTTTAACAGATAGGGAAATTTGCCCCTGAGGAGTTGTCATGGCCAACATCTGTAGCTGGGTGGTTCGGAAAGTAAAATTTAACTGCTGTTTTAGTTAGTCTGAACTTCCATGAATGATATTCTTTGGTTGATATTTTTATGCTTTGTTTTCCTTGTTTTTCAGGATTTGTTTATTGCAGTAAAATGCAGTATAACAATCCTAAATTAGAATGTAGAAGTTTCTCTGTGGGTATTTTTTATGTATTGGTGTAGTGCTATTCAGTAGAACTTTCTGCACGGATGGCAGTGATCTGTATCTGCTCTATCCAATATGGTAGCCAAAGCCGCATGTGGATGCTGAACACTACACATGTAGCTGGTGTGACTGAGAACTGGATTTATAATTTAATTCAACTCATTGAAACTAAGTTTTAATTGGCCATATGTAGCTAGTGGCTGCTGTATTAGACAGCATAGTATTAGGGGTTATTGCATCCATTTATTAGGAATTGTCACATCTAATAACCATGGAAACCACGGGAACCCAAGGGTAAGGAAATATCTTGGAACTAAGGATTGAAATTCTCTTTGTACATTTTTAAGATGAAGTATTCTTCATTTTTGCCTCATACCTAGTCTTCTGTTATATCTCTGCAAAAGAATGAAGAAGGTAGCAACTTCTCTGATCTTTTATTATTTTTTTAAGATTTTATTTATTTGCGCTCAAGCATGAGGGGATGAGATGGGAGTGGGGGGAGATGCGACAAAGGGAGAGGGAGAAGCAGACTCCCCACTGAGTGCGGAACCCAACTCAGGGCTCCCTACCAGGACCCTGATCATGACCTGAGCCAACTCAGAGGCTTAATCCAAAGACTGAGCCACCCAGGTGCCCCTTCTCTGATCTTTTAATATATGATTCTGTTTCCTTTGTCAAACAACAACAAAAATGGATGTTAAGAAAGTAGATTACTTTGTTATTTTTTAAAAAATTACTTGTTTTTTTAATACATCAGTTAAAAAACCTTTTTGTTAAGGAAAATTTAGAAATATATACAAAGTGAACAGAATAGTATAATAAACTTTTTTGTATCTATGCTTGTTTCATCTGTATCTCTATGCATTCTCCACTCCTCTCCATTGTTTTTATTATTTTAAAAAGCTTTTTAGGTAAAATTTACATATATTAACTGTATACTTTTATAATATACTTTATTGAGGTAATGCATATGTCATTTATATGTATGTAACTCACGTTTGTACCCTTTTAAGGTACAATTTACTGATTTTTTTAGTATATTCACAGAGTTGTGCAACCATCACCGTTATCCAATTTCAGAACATTTTCATCAGCCCAAAATGAAAATCTGTAACCATTAGCAGTCACTTTCCATTATTCCCTCCCACTACCCCTGGCAACCACTAGCCAATCTTCTGTGTTTATATTTTGCCTATCCTGGACATTTCACTTAAATGGAACCATATAATATGTGGCCTTTTGTGTCTTTTTTCGCTTAGCATAATGTTTTCAGGTACATCCATGTTATAGCATGTATCATTCCCTTTTTTTGGCCAAAATATGTTTCATTATATGGATATATATTTCATTTTGTTAATCCATTCATCAGTTGATGGGCATTTGGTTGTTTCCACTTTCTGCTGTTAATAGTTTTTTATTTGCAGTGAATGTTCATTTACAGGATTTGTGTGGACGTGTGGTTCATTTCTCTTGGATACATATCCAGGAGTGGAATTGCGGGGTCAGATGACACCTCTGTATTTAACATTTCGAGAAACTGCCAAACTGTTTTCCAAAGAGCCTGCACCTTTTTACAGTCTCATCAGCAATTATGAGGGTTCAGTTTCTCTACATCCTTACCAATATTTGTCTTTTTGGTTATAAGCATCCTAGTGGGTATGCAGTGGTATCTCATTCTGGTTTTGATTTGCATTATCCTGATGACTAATGATGTTGAGCATCTTTTCCATGTAGTTATTGGCCTTCTGTATACCTTCTTTGGAGAACTGTCTATTCAGGTCCTTTGCCCATTTAAAAAATTGGATTATTTATGTTTTCACTGTTGAGTTGTAAGCATTGTTTATGTGGTTTGGATATAAGTCCCTTATCAGGTGTGTGGTTTGCAATTATTTTCTCCTGTTCGTGGGGTTGTTCCTTCACTTGATGATGTCCTGTGATGCACAAAAGTCTTTAATTTTGATGAAGTCTAATTTATCCTTTTTCTTGTTTTGCCTATGCTTTTTTTTTTTTTTAAGATTTATTTATTTGACAGAGCACAAGCAGGGGGAGCACCAGGCAGAGGGAGAGGGAGAGGCAGGGAGCCAGATGCAGATGCGGGGCTTGTGCTTTTGATGTCATATCTAAGAAAATGTTGCCTAACACAGGGTGACACAGATTTACTCCTGTTTTTTTCCTAAGAATTATATAATGTCAGCTCTTACATTTAGTTTGTGGCCCATTTTGAGTTAATTTTTGTATGTGGTGTGAGGTAGGTGTCCAGTTTCATTTATTTTAGGTGTGAATACCAATTTCCCTGAACCATTTGTTAAAAAGACTCTTCTTTCCCATTGAATTGTTTTGACAGTCTTTTCAAAGATCAGTTGAACATAAATGAAAGGATTTGTTTCCAGATTCTCAATTTTATTCCATATATGTGTCCTTATGCCTGCATAATAATGTCTCGATTACTGTTACTTCGTATTAACTTTTGAAATGGGGAAGTATGAGTCCTTTGGTTTTCTTTTTCAGTGTTATTTGGGTATTCTGGGTTTCTTTTACTTCTATATGAATTTTAGGAGTAGTCTGTCAATTTTTGCAAGGAGTAGTCAATTTTTGCAAGCGCAGCTGGGATTTTGATAGGTATTGTAATGAATCTGTAGATCGATTTGGGAAAAATTGCCGTCTTAAAAATGTTAACATCCAGAAACATGGGATATCTTTTTTCCAATTATGTAGGTTTTATTTAATTGCTTTCTCTTTGTTATGTAGTTTTCATTGTACAAGC